GCATTTAAAGTAATTACTAAAATGCAGTCATAAAAACAACATCAAAGAAAAAATAAAAGGAAATGTTAAAGGGAATGGATATATTGTGGGACTATGAGAGATAGAGTAGTGTTTCAGGAATTATTAACACCATTTTTAAAAACAGCCATAGGACCTATTTCAGCCACAGGAAGCAATTTTCTTTGTAATACAAATTAGAAGACTAAGTACTAGCTATTTCAACATTATAGCATTTCCTAAATATTTCAACAATGTTTGGTAACCAGTAATACATTTTGTTTCTTATCTTGAAATGACTTGTAGTTGTTTTTCTCGCTTGAATTTATAATCAAAAAACTCAGACAAACATAAAAGAGATGATAGTTTCTGTGAAGAAGGCAATAAAAAAAAAACAAATAAAAAAAAATCACTGAAGATATATCCACATTTCTGGAGAAAAAGTAAATTCTCACAAAACTGGCATAAACCATACAAAAAAAATGTAACTGTGACTCTTAAAGGTCTGTGTCCACATTTGCCCTAAAATGTAGAACATAAGCAACTGTATTTTACTTATATCAGTAGAATTTTTCCTACTCTACTAATTCCTTCTTATTATTTGATCATGACATCAAACATTTGCAAAATTAAGGTCACCCAGAAATTAACTGCCAAAAGTATGCATTTTTCACTCAGGCTAAACTAGTTTTCATATCAACAGGATATTATTTCATTAAAACATTAATAATGGTCTATTGCTTTTCTAACTATTTGCTCAAAGTTAATGGACATTCATACCTCTTTTGCAATACTGCTTTGAGAAAATTGGAAATAATATCTGGGCTGTAAAAATAAGAACTGATAAAAGAACAGTATTATCACAATAACATCTTAGTTAATAAATGAGTATTGTTTTATTGATGATAGCTTCTGTTGTGACAGTCTTGAAAGGATGGAATGACTTTTATATTTAGAATATCTTTTTGTGATACTGTCATTATTGTCTCTATTCTATGCTTAAGAAGTGTGATACTAAATAAAGTCCATTTTGTATGAATCAGAACAACAAACTTATTCCTGCTTTTCCTGTTAAAAATTAAACTAAAATTTTTTTGCACTTTTTTTTTCAATACACAGGTCAAATGAGAGCAAGTAATAGGTAATGAAATAGTTTGAAGTTTCCTCAAATAATTGATTATGAATAAAGAGATAGATTTTATGCCACAGATCACAGATAAAAGCTTTTATCAGTGAACATCATGAATAATTTGATGCAAATCAATAGAGTTCATGCAAATACAAAACTACTCAGGGTTAGATCAGAATCAGAGCCAACACTAGTTATTAACCTGCATTGTTAGCAACAATTACTGCCAAGTAATTTTCAGCATTTCCTCCACGAAGCTTTGTTTCAAAGCCAAGATTTAGACAGCTTCAATTGATTTTACATAATTGCTATGTGTGCTTTATAAGCCTGTGTGTAGTGATTGCGTTCCTCAGTTATGAAAGTCTCACATGCGAAAATAACTCTCTCTCTCCTTTTAAAGTTTTAAAGGGCAGCTAAAACCAGTTTTTGTATGGCTAAAAAGAAGGTAAACACCAGAGTATATTTAATCCACCTCTTTTTTGAGTTTTACAAATAACTTTCTAAATATATACTCCTTAATTTCCTTATATCAGTTTTTATTATCCCTACCATTAGTATTTGAGAGTAATAATCAGCATGATTATAACTACAGTGTTTCTGAAAGATTTCTTTTGGTATCATTTGGTTTAGGATGTATTGGGCTCTGCAGTGAAAATGAGATATTGTTCTTACTGAAGAGCCAGTGTACCTTTTCCATACATCACGCTAGTAAATTGTGAGGACATGATTTGAAACTTTTTCTTAGTAAAAGAAATCTGTATTTACAATTAAACTGATGTAAAACTAATATAAAATGAATAACAATTCATTTGAGTCATCCTGTTTCCCCGTGCTTCACCTTGCTTTTACCATGATTATTCTGAGAAAGTTCCTACAAAGTTGGCTAGAAACCACCATATGGGTAAGCGATCTTGGGGTCGAAACTCACCTTTACAACATTTGAAGTGAAATGAGAAATGCTAGGAAAGAACCATATTTGCAATAGGAACATGAGTTATTAGAAATAAAAAATAACCTGGCACAATGAGTCATCATACAGCATTTCCAAATTAACTGCGACACTCAAGTATTTTTCTTGTATTGTAATACAAATGGAGGATTTTGATGGATTTCCAACTCCTCTATTTCCCAACTATCTAGTTTAACTTAAACAAACAAACATCTAACACAAAGCAAGACCTCCCTTTGCTTGCAAATTTCAGGGAGGTTTCTGTGGATGTTGTCAGACGCTGGTGTTTCTAATGAAAAGTGGACTTTAACCACATTGTAAACCTGTGAATGCATGTGCTCTGGGAGGCTAGGACTCAGAATCCAGATCCCAATATAGAGTAAAACTTCTGCAGCACATAATGAGTAGTCTCTGCTTTCCTGTTGGTAGAATCTACTCTCCTTTTAAGGTAACCAGTAAAATTTACATTATCCCCTATCCTGTAGCTTATATCTTAATTTCAAGTTTAGATCTAGTGAGTTGACCACTCTAGCTTGTCATTTGTAATTCCCATTTTGCTCTATTTTGCCACAGTTATAATCCAATTCTCATGGGTTTTTTGATAGAGGTGTTGTACTAGTGTAGATATGCTACTCATTAGCATCTCTGATGAGAGTTAACAGCTAAAACACTTGACTATGGATTTATAAAAAGATGATGTGATTCGTCTAGCTTCCACTGAATGCTGTCAAGAGCTTTCCCATTGTCTGTGAAGGAGTAGTTTTAAGTCCTGTGTACCATTTAATTAAATAATTGCATTTAAAAAGAAATATGTGTTGTGACAAGTTTGAAGTGTATTAGTCATTTCTGTAAGATCCCTTGAATTTAGGATTGAAAAAAAGATGATAACATCCTAGTACAGGAAATCAGATAAATAGCATCCACTCTAGGAACCACTCTCCTGCTTTGTTACAGAAACTTGTGAGCCAACAGATTTACATATGCAAACCCAGTAATAGTCAATCTTGGAAGGAGCCAAGCTGACAGTGAAAACCACATCCCTGCATGTGGTGTGTGACATTATTCACTTTTCATCTAAAATTAGAAATATGATTTGTGAATGTGTTACATGCGTGTGGTTTTGTGTATTATTACAGATACTGACAGAACTAGATCCACTTTTTAGGACTGACTCAATAAATATGTTTTATGTCCCTTCTAAGAAGAAAACTAGAAAAAGTAATAAAAGCTTTTCTCTAAGGAGTGAGAATGTTTGACCTGTGAACAGTGTAGTCCAATAAAACGTAATGATAACTAATTCATTCTAATTCTGACAAAAATAAATGGCTGCAAATATTTTAAGGTTGTTACACAATTTCTAAGAGAACAAGAGCAACAAAACCATTTTTCTCTCTCTCTTTTTTTTTGTTGGAGGGGCATGGTGTGTGTTCTGCTTTTCTTTCCATAAACACATTAAACAGTGAAAAGTACCTTTCAGTCTCATACCACTTTTCACCTTGTTTGATTTCTTGTAACTTTAGGCTAATGCTCCAAAGCTTGTTCTGATCATTAGTGGATTCAAGCCACTGATAATCTACATAATTAAGAAGATAAAGAAGGCTTTTTGGTTTTTTTACACCATTTGTTTGTAACATCATCTGGCTGCTGCTGCCAAAGTGTCCCAAGAAAAGAAACAAATTCAGATGTTAAAGCAAATCTCTGAGCAGTTTAGTATCTTTTTAAAGTTTTAAAATAAAATGTGGTCTATTTTGGTTTGACTGCTCTATTTACTGGATAGCAGAATAATCAAAAAAACCTCTTGGTTCTGTCACTTTGTGTGAGGAAACATATGAGAGCTGAGAACATCAAAGTTTCTTATTTCCAAGAAAAATCAGTACATGTTTATAACATTTTAGTGCATTCTTCAAGATCTTATTGAGGTTTGTCAAATACATCTGCTCTGACATATTGCTTTAGTAATGAGACTGTTAAGTTTTATCCACAATAATTATGCTTATACTAAGCACTCAAAAAATTCTAGAAATTATACATTACCTGGATGATAACCCAAAGTCGTATTCTGGGGTAGTGGTAATGATAGTAATAAACTGAAATTCACCTGGACGACCAGAAGATTCTGGAGAAAGCAGAGGCAAAAATGAGTCAAAGGCAGGAGACAGTACTTGAAGGTTGACTAACTATTTATTCCTTACAATTTTTCCTTGAAAAACAAGTTGCATGTAGCTAAAGTTATAAATTCAGCTTGAAAAATTAAAATACTGGTACACTTTCTTGTTTAGTTAGCTTGCCAAACTCCACTGACACGGAAGTTTTGCAGGCCTGGGGAGACAGTATTTAGTCTTTCACAACCAACATAAATTCACAGTTGTTTTGCTCAGGATAAGGTTTGCGTAAAAGTACTTGTTTCTTATCATTGACAAGAAAGATTTACAATTTCAGCTCAAAACTATGTAAAATTCTAATGTTATCTCAAAGTTTCATCCTGAATTATGTATTAATTAAGTATAGGCAAGCATGAAAACTTACCAAAGCAGAAGGTAAAAAAGGAGATAGATTGAAGGGAGAAGCAGCAGAGAAGAGAGTGATTATCAAACTACATACAAGCTAAAACTTAGAACACTAAAGAAGATAAAGAAAGTTTTGATGAGATAAAGAATTAGGTACTGTGGGCTACTATATGCATTAGAATCAAAGAGAATTCTATATATCAAACTATTTAAACAAGCTGAGATAATGTAAATAAAATTGATAGAAAAGACCTCAATAGGAAATTCTAGTTTCTTAGTTTGCACCCTGAATATTTTCCCATCGTAGGTTAATGATGGCCAAATCCTCCTTTCACCACCTCAGTGAGAGCACAAGCACACAATTCACGTTCTCTTTCAGTGCATACGCATCCATGCGTCTGTGACATGTCTTTTGAAGAGAAATGTTCCCAAAACCACTCAAAGTTTTTCAGTTGCTCAGAGCTGGTGCTCAAACTGCAGCGAATGCATTTTTAAAACCAGTTTTCTTCCATTTTACTCTAATCAGTTAATCACCGTGGTTGGGGCCATACAGGGACTCTTGATCTTATTTCTAACACTGAAACTTTTCACTTTTTCTTTCATGGCCCTTCAATAAATCTGCTGTTCCTCTGCCTTGTTTTAAATTACTACACTACACTACAGGTGGGAGTGGATAGGCTGGCAGCTAGAATACACTGTATACTAGAATATGTTCCATTTTGTTCTTCTCTCATAAATAACTCTATGCACTGATGCAACTGCAGTATCAGGATGGTGTCTACCGTCTGTGAATCCTTACACCTTGTGGTCTGTTTTTCACAAGACTTGCTTCCCTTTTTCAATCTTTCATAAATGTCAGCTCTTTCAGCCTTCAGTTTGTCAGCAAAATCCATGTAGCTGATTTCTTCTCAGAAATCAAATGAAAAATTAATAATAAAAAGAATACTTGTAATAATTGTGCAGTACCTGTGCAACACCTGTCTAATATCTTCCTGGCATTGTAAGTTCTTAGAAACAGAAACCCTATGTATTCATTCATTTGTTTGTAAAGTGTCCTGCTTTGACAAGGACACTTAATTAATAATGGAAGTGAATACTGCCATATTTTGCAAAAAGCAGATAAAAATCTGTTTCTACTCAGGATCATTCTTAGAAAAACTATAGAATATCTGTTCTCTGAGGAGAAATTACATGATATTCAAGTGCTGTAATTTGCAATGAAGAGGAAGAACAATTGTAAGATGAGAGCAGGTTCATCTATCTAGAAAAGTCATGCAAGTTCACAATAAGTCAAAAGGGACTATTAAGATGTCACTTAGTATGTAAGTAAATTTATTGATACATTTGGTACTCACAGCTCAGAAATATGCAGTGGAGAATTGCATTTTCAGTTCACCTAATACAATTATAAATATTCAATCATAGACAGCAGATTTTGGATGGAAGGATAATCAATATAAGAAGCTCTGAAACACAAAGTGCAGGAGTTGTTTTGATAATGCTGGTCTCATGATTTATTTTCCCATTTCTTCTCTTTGTGACAGTGTGTAAAACAAAAGAATATGAACACTTTATTAGATTGTACTATAGTGTCTTGTCTGGTTTTAGTGTAGCTACAGCTGTACAAATAATGCATTTAAATGCAAGTCAACAACAAATCTACTAATTTTTGTGGTTTGTTTTTTTTTTTTTTTATGAGGGTAGAGGAATAACTATCTGGCTATGCTACCACTGTGGAAACTGCAAAAGTGAACTTAAAAGTAATGAAGTTTTGACAACCAATTCCCTTTATGTGCTATCCAATCCCTAATTTTGTCACAAACTGTAGAGTTAGTTAAATAATATACACTGATAATGTATTGTTAAGGCTATGTATTTTTGTACAACATTTCATTGTTCAGTTTATACAAAGACCACAGAGATCATTTCTCAAAATAAGTCATGGCAATTTGTTTTGGAAAAAGTTTTAAAATTCCAAACATATGAGAATGTCATGGTTTCACAAATATCTCTAAATGAGAGTTCTCTGAGTTCTTTTTCATTTTCCCACAAAATAAGAAATGCTGCTTTGATCTGAAAAGATAGTATTTCTTAAGCATCTAAACTTTCTTTACTAGTTTTGGAATAAATATTGATGTTAATAAAATCTAGAAAACAAGACAAATTAAATTAATTTACTCAAATTCAGACTTAAAGAATACGCTAACAATCAAGAAAAGATACTAACCCGAGTACTATGCAAAAACATTTTGTCAAATAGATTTGTACCTGTAACTGGACAGCTAATACGGAAAATTCAGCAAGAATATTCATGGTAGAAAGTGCTTTGCCTCATGGTGAGCATTTGCAGAAGCAGGGACTCTATGTAATGCCATGCAGTGGATTAAAAAAGAAGTGTTTATGAAAAGGGATGGTCAGCGTTCAAAAAAAGCAAAGGTTATTTTGGGTGGGTGACTCCATTACAGTAAAAATCTGTCTGCTTTTTGCCCCAATAATTTCAGATCTCTCTCTGCATGATTAAAATACAAAAGCACTCAAAGATCTCTGGATAAAAAATGAAAATATTTTCTTTATCGGTTTTTTGCTAATGTATGAAGATGAAAGAGAAAATACCTGAGACATAGACACCATCCAAAGTCTTAATAAGAATTTTTACCTAGATACCTCTATTTTTTCAGTCAAAAGATAGAATATAAAAAAACCTAAACAAAACCCAACTCCCCCATGCCCCAACACCAAGCAAACTTCATTTAACCGTTAGAACAATCACATCGTACTGCATCAGGTTTAAAAATAGATGTATGTCAGCCACATTATTCCTTAAGATAAGGTTTTGCTTTATGGAAACAAAACATCTTTCAGAAGACAGGACCATGCCATGTATCAGTGAGAGTAAATTATTTACAGTGGCAGGATCTGTGCATGGTGGCGTAATCAATGCAGCTTCCTCACCTAAAGGTGTGGGTGGTTCCCGTGTCTGCTGGGAACTTGTAGTCCTTTCTAAAGGTTTTCCATTTAATTCATGAAGTTAGAGGAAGGCATGCATATTCCCAGACCTGCTATTCTCACCCAGATACCAGAAATAATCTGTTAAAAACTAAATCCCAGGAAGCCTTTTCCTTATTTAAAAGTGGAGTTAATGTTTTATGAGAAAATGTTAGATTCATAACATTTATATGGGGCCTGATTGTCCGATATATCATACATTTTTAGCATCAGTGCAACAACACAAATGCATTTAAAGGTACAGATCTAATAAATCTCTGAATTTCTTGACAAAGGCAATACAAAGCAGGATGGAATATACTGTAGGAACATACCCCAAAATTGTAACCTATTTCTGTATACAGCAAGCTGTCCTGACTATCTAAATCCTTTTCCAGTGTCTCTAAAATATCCAATTAATATTCTACATGTTCCTGAGATAACATGTAAGATGACTCTGTTTGACCATAGTTAATATTCTATATTTAGCCTAAACAAATTCTTTGAGATCATGAATTATACTGCTACTGCTCGAACACTGTGAGCTTTATTGCCTTTATGCTTTCAGTACCTCTTTTCTGTTTTCCTGGACTTGTTTGTCTAGGTAACAGTATTAGTTTTAATGTATTTTTTAGCAATCTGTCTAAACATATAAGTAATATATTTTAAAATATTTCTTAGTCTGAGTTTTTGTTCTGAGGTGAATTTTAGCTTTATATCAAAACCAAAGGTACCATTGCTTTAAGTGCCAAAGTACCATTGTTTCACCCTATACATATATTTAACTTTCTGAATCTATATGTCTCAAAAATAAGGCAAAATCTACTGCAATACAAATGTAAACATTGCTAACACATGATAAACTTTCATCGAAATTATTTACAGCAGTTTTTACTAGCAAAGTTATTAATCCACTTGAAGCATTTTTTTGTGAAGGATAATTTCTAAAACTATCAGATTTATGCTTTTGTAATACTTCAGATTAGGTAATCACATGTCTGAATAGCTGACTCCCTCAGGACACAGCCATCCCTGCATTACCTGTAAATTTTAAAAGTTACTTTGCTCTTGGTTCTGTAGCTGTTTATTATCTGGTCCTGCATCCTGCAGCTTTGACAAAGTCTCATACTCAGTATGGCTGAAACCAAGCTTGTTGTGGAAGCTCTGTCCAGACTAAATTTCATAGATAGCAGTGAATCAAAACCCCTCAGGACTGTGGACTCCTCTTTGCATTACATAACAATCTTCTACAGTCATTCCACTCAGCTTGTTACAAATACTTGCCCTAGTTTATTATGTGCTAAAATGGTCCTTCTCAGACCACAGCACTATCTCCTACTCTTGCCATGCCAGTATATATGTTGATGGAAGATGGGTTTTGTGTGCATTGCTCTGCAAAATGCACTGTTATAGGCATGGAGCATTTTCAGGGGCTTGCACATCAGTTTTACGTGGGGAAAGCAACAAGGAATGACAGAAACTATGGTTCTAACCTGCTGCATGTGGGGGGATAAGTATGTTTACTCTTTTAAAATCACCAGTATGTTTACCATATGTGTGGTAGAACAACAATTCTTTTCTGACTTTCTAGAGGTATGCACTTTGTTGGACAGATGTTAGATTAATTTAATGTTAGTATTTTTCCCTACCATTTTACTTTCTGACTAAAAAAACGGGTTTATATGTGAGTTCGTATGTGTTTTATGGCTTCCTGAAGATGCTTCAGCATCCATGTAAAACTGGAATTGATATAATCTCAGATGTCAAAAGTGCATAAAATTATTAATATCATTTATTGTGTAGATTTATAATGCCCTGGATTTTTATTAAATCACATGATTATACCTTTTTCTTATGCAACTCTCACATTGGGATCTATAATATTTATAGAAAGAAAAAACTGTGTAAATTAAACAGTCCTAATTATCAATATTGAAACAAGGGTGTTACTGTAAGTTATTTTAATTCCATGGAAAAAGAAAAGTATTTTTCATTTGTGGTGTAAAATAGACCAACACCCATCACTGTGTTTTTGCATTACTATATAAAGCAAATATCAAACAGAGGATAATTATAAAGGCCAAATCTGTCTTTCCTCACTGGATCTAACAGTTTGCACATAGTTGTACCAATATTTCAGGAAATAAATAATCAATATTTTAACTGTAAACTGTAAAAAACCCCTGAGCTTAGTGCAACACCTCCTTATTTGGTCTCATATTGATTCTGTCCAGCTGGAAATTCCCTCACACACCCCCAAATGAAACTGCCAAGGATGTCTTTTTGAGGGGATATTATCTTCTCCAATGCTTTAACATTCTTGCATGTTCTGATAATCAAGCTTGTATTTTCATTACACATTCCTTTTGTGCCTCATTAGTCTGATGTTTTCTCTGTCATAAAGAGATGTTTTTGGCAGAAGGAAATTAATTTTTCTTAACATATATAATGACATTTTGATTGTAGTACTTTCAATGTCTCTCTTTGTTCCCTTTTTTCAAATAGATTTTTAATTTTGTTTCCTGGATATCAGATTTCAAAAAAAGCACTGGAATTCTTTTAATTTCCAAGCATATTTGCATTAGCATTGCTAATTAATGGCTAAATTATTAACACTAATTACAGCCACACATCTTCATATGCATGCAGGCACATACATTACAAAATTAGCAATTTAATGTAACCATTGCCATAAATTTGGCTGTTGAAGAGTCCATGAATCTTATATGACTCTCTTTGAAGGTTTAAACTTTATGTATTTATGTATTTACACATACATAGATAAACATACAAGCACACAGTCATATATATACATATACGTTTTATACAGACATGTATTTTTGTATTAGATGCAGTTATACCTGTCTTTCCTGAGCATGCATTTCATCCAAACAGTACCATATGTAGTCAATCAAAAATGCAAGGCCTTACCTTTACAATCAGGGCTTGATTTCTTAGATCTGTTATATTTCACTTCCACAGAACACTCTGCCCTAAGGTCTGTGATCAGCACTACAGTCAGAGTACCAGGCATGACCTCTATATATACACAATTCAGTAATAGCAACAAGTGAATACTTAGTTTCTTACTTCAGTTCCACATTTATCAAGTGATATTACTCATAGAAAGAGATCCTTCAAGCAAACACTTAATCTGCATTGAATTGGGAGTGATCTTGATGATACACTTGGGAAAAAAAAAGCTTATTGTACCACACAGCAGATGAAAATACCCGCAGCCATTGCACGTACCACTCATTCTGTTAACCATGTAATATACATTGTCATTTTGACGTGTAGACTATTTCTCTTCCTCTATCACCTCCATGTCAATCCAATTCACTCATTCTTGCCAATGATGAAATGAAAAAAAAAAAAAAAAAAAGAAAAAGAAAAGGAAACACGGAAAGATTGTTATCCTAGATCTGCATTTGCGGAACATTTTAAAGCCAGTTAGATTAACCATTGGGAAGATGTTAGTCTAGATAAGAGAATCCCCACTGGTTTTCTGTCTCCCTTAGACAATGAAATCACATAGTTGTGTCTGTGCCTCTCTGTTTTGGATTGTTCTATTTTAACACATAACAGATTGAGGGCTGCCTACTATTCCTAATTAACTCAAGTTAAACTAATGAGAGAGAGAGGGTGGAGGGAGTGCCAAAAAGAGAAAAGAGATCATGAGTTGGAAGAGATTGAATTACAACTTAAAGGGGATGGAGAAAGGAAAAGAAAAAGGAGGGAGGGGGAGGAGGTGCAGATACAGTTAGGCTGAAAAGTAGGGGAGAAGAAGGCTCTTGAGAACAGATTTGCCCTTCATTTCCACGGAAAGGCAAAGAAGCCTTGCAAAAACACCAAAGAAATAAAAGCAATCCAACATTGTACCAAAGACAGATTCTTGCTTCTTGTTAGGAAATACTTCAGCACCCACTGGAGAACAGCTCAGATTTCAAAATCCAGCTATTGCTCTGCTATGAACAGCTTTCTCTGGCATGTACCCACAATTTATTGATGTAGTTATTTTTGCCAAGAAAATACCATATAAACTACTCTTGGAAGAAAGTAGTCTGTTCTTTCTAAGCCTGACAAAAAAATACCAGGGAAAAGTCAGGTTTTATTGTACTGTATCAAACAAATTTAAATGTAATTTTCCTTATGCTAGGAGTTAGAAATAGGCTCACATGCACAAAGAGGAAGGTAGAACTGAATGATGCTGGTGTAAAAACAATGTGTTATTTTCTCAGCTATGCATAGAATAATTTCCAGATTTTGTGTTCGTGCACAAGAGATTTTCACTCTTCACTTTTATTCTTATAAATTACTTTGCGTGTAGACATTCTGCTCACACACTGTTGCTACCAGTAGGTTAGTTGTTGGGTTTGACAGCACAATCTATAAAAAAATGGCAGTGGCTGACTTCAATGCAGGGCAAATATGAAGTAAGAGTTGAGTTTCAGGTGCGCGCATACAGTGTGTAATGTCATGTTTAGAGGGGTACCTTCTTGCTCCAGCCAAAGGAGAAGACTCTGGCCAACACTCCCACGTTTCTGTGCCTGGGGTCTCTTCTCTCTCTCCACGTGCAGAGGTGAGGATGGGAGCCTGCTGGAGGTGGAGGGGACTGTGGGAGTGTGTTTGCTGTGGTTGCAGCTGAAGCTGTAGGGCTTGCCAGAAGTAAGGCCTCACCTCTTCAACACGTCCGGGCCCAAAACCAGAAGCTCTTCTTGGATTCCATGCCTGCTTGTGACTGCACATGCATGTGCACACATGTGTATGTACACTCTTGCCTCTCTACTGTGGCCCAGATTGGGGTTAATAAAAGTGCTGGCTGGTTTAACAAAAGCCGAGGAGATGTGACAGGTAAGTGGGAAGGAAATAGCTGGCCTGTTTTGGCTGGCTGTGGCTATTTGCGTCTAACGAGGCCAGCTCGTCGCCAGGCTCTGTGCAGATGAAATGAAGCGATGGGCTGAAGCAGGGCAAAGCAGGCGCCGCGTCCTGACAGGCTGAGGTGTGACCTGACGAATCCTAACCACCCCGGACATCTTCGGGAGAGTGAGGGGAGGGATGGCAGGAGCGCAGGGTGTTGGGACACAGCCTGGCCTTGGGCCCAGGGAGAAGGAGCTGGGCAAGGAGAGGCAGGAAAGGGGGACCCCACAACACCTTGTTTCAGACTGAGCACAAAAGCGAATTTAGTTACAAACTCGACCAACAGGACACAGGACTTTGCAACAAGGTTTTCTTTGATTTTTTTTTAATTTTATTTTTCCAAGGAATTTTTTCATACATCCACTTCACACAGGGAAAAATAGCTTTAAAATTCTCACATCTTCATCTCATTAACAACAGAGGTTTGGTCTGGGTTTTTTTGGCGGGGAGGGGGGTAGGTACTCTGTGAGAGTGATCCAAACTTTAGTTTACAAAATGCATTCAGTGACATAGCCAAATGATAAACAGACTGGCTTATGCACCCTAGGTATATGAGCACCTGTATCTTTGCAAACACTAAGTAACTTTGGGCATCCAAAGATATTAACATACAGCACTGGCCAACAGGTGTGGTTGCAATAGATCTTAAGCTAAACACGCTGTTGACCATGTGTTCTACAGTTATGGGAATACTCCTTCTGTGGACTTGTGTGTATATCTGGGTCCACACGTGCCAGAGAATTTACTTACGTAGAAATGTACCTTGCTTGAAAACTTTTTGGAGAAGCTGTTAAGGATGTTCTATTTTAACTTGTGCCTAAGTCTAGATGTTTGACAAAGCAAAGAAAAATGTGAATTATAATTTAAAAATCAAAAGTAATGGAAGGAATTTTCTGGTTACCATTAAACAGTTCTCCGTATGGGAACCACAAACCAACTGCTACTAGGTTTCAGAAGCAAGCAAGGACAGATCTGGAGGAATGTATATGTAGCTATAAGCCAGTTGTGTTTTGCATCCCCTGCTACTGTAATTTCCTAAAAAAGGAAATATTAGGATAAAATGATTACTGAAAAGAAAAAAAAAGTATATATACTACAGTTTATTGCCCATAGTAATGCAAAACCAGTAGAAGATACTTGTGTTCTGAGTAGATTTGACTTTCATCTTACAGCAACGTTTAAAAAATGCAAGAGTAAATTACAATAGCGGGGAGGTTTTGGCTGCTGCATTTCACTGTGCAAATATCACACTAGGGATTAGTATTTTACAGAAGCCATATTATGGTTAACATATAGTGCTCCCTGGAGTCAAAGGCAGTGAACTGGGTGCAGGATGCCAAAAAGGCAACTGTTCTACTATTTTTATACTTGATTATCTAGAACATAACACATTTGTGCTCATGCCAACATTCATTCTCTTCACACTGAAATGCACACGAGTTAGAAATCCATGGTTCCCAATAATTATTAAGAACACACAGAGATTTTTAAGGACAAAAAAAAAAAAGAACAGTTGGTCTCTGGTTTTGTCAGTTTTAACTGGCAGAACCTTCTGTATTGCACCTGTGTGCACACATAAATAAATGAGAAAAATCAAATTTACAAAGTTGTAAATTAACTTACGTTTCTGAAATGGGTCTTCTACAGTGTATGATCATTTTTGTCCTTATCAAAGAGACTTCTACATGCATTTGTAGATCCAGAAGAATATTTTATGTCACCTGAAAAATTGTATTAATGAGAAAAGAGAAAAAAAAAGGGAAAAGTGATGACAATTTGGCAGAAGTCCCAGCACAACTAGGCAAAACTCTGTAGAGAACTGACATGAAACCTGTTACATACACACATCATGCTATACAGGTACACGAAGCTAATGCAGACAGTCTTGTCTCACTAGGCTAGACTAGTGTATCACTCTTCTTTGACTAAGTGAAGCTGTCACAAACTGCTCTGACCATGGGTATCCTGTCACAAAAGGCTGCCAGAAATGTAGGTTTACAGCTGCTGTGAGACTTTGAAAACTAGTGTGCCATAAGATTAAGCATCAAGTGCTTGATCTCTCCAGCTCTCGGGAAGGCTGTAAGTGTGGTATACTCTGGGTCAAGGTCAAGGAGGACAGAGGATTGAGGATTTAAGGCAGGGATATAGCCCCAGCTTGCATCTTCTGCCCATCTGCATGCTGGAATAGCTTGCTAAAATGAGAGTTAGGTTAGTCTCTCTTTTTCCAAACTGACACAGTAATGGAAATGAAAAATAAAAATCAGAACAAAGGTTTTTCCAAAATATATAGAAGCAACCCCCAAATATCAACTTACACAAAGTCATTTCACGGCAAAAACAGGGAAAAAGAAATTCACTCCTGGTGTAATCCTCATGTAGAAAAAAAGGAAAGGCTTATAGCACACAGTGTAAATAACAAGAACCTATGTTCAGATTACTGGTATGTGTTGGATCAATGAAGTTACATCAGCTACAACCTTTCTATCACATTTACCTGTAGCAGTCCTTCATTACAGCTCGAATGCCACTGAATACAGAATTACTCATTGTTCCCCTTTATATTAAAGGGATTTTTTTAAATCTGTGTAATTATCTTGAAGTTATTAAAAAAATAATTGTGTTTTGAGAAGAAGAGTACAAAGTCAAGTCATTAATAATGTTTTCTGTGTAATACTCGTCATAGACTTACTGGGCAAATCACTTCAGAATTAGATTTTGCTTTCAAAAAGCAGCACATATTCTAACTGTTTTAAAAGTGTCTCTGGAAATTGTTGTCAAAAAACCCCATCATAGTGAAAAAACGCTTTCAACATGTACCCTACTGCAGGGTAAGCAAAGCCCTATAGATATTGTGATTACTCATCGACCACTTTTACGCTGGATTTTACACTTTTCAGAAAAAGCATTGTTCTGAAAACTGCGTGTGGGAACCCTGTGAGTCTCTGTGACTGGACACCTGCCTCAGACTTCAGAGAGCATGAAAAAAATCACTGTAAGAAATGTGCATTATCCAATTTAGTGTTTTATAACTGCTAAGGCTATGAAGATAACAAATCTAAACTTTCTTTTTAAAATCAAGATGACATGGAAATCAGTATCTTGAATTTTGGATTA